TTAAGTTTTTTTGGCAAGACCAAGATAATTATTACATGGCTCATCATAGATTCATAGAATACCTCTAGGCGAGTCCAGACTGGCACTGTCGAATATATATAAAAGTGCTTAATCAAGACTCAATAGACCTTTGAAACCATGACTAGGAGTGCGAAACAATATAAAAAAAAGTGGGTGCGCCTGGGCCACACTGGAGAAGTTAAACTTACGTTACATACATATCTATTTTGTCTCATAACCAATATACATACATACATATGTACATACATACATACATCTGCTTTTGCTTAACGTTATATTTTTTGTCTTTTTTCTATCTAGATCCCTACCACTACCCCCCCTTCGTTCTAATTACATTTATGTTATTCTGTTTTACTTTATCTTCATTTTTATCTTTATACTCTTTCGATAACAAAATCGATAGTAACATCCAATAAAATATCGATAATAAAACCGATAAAAATATCGATAACAAAATCGATGAAAAAATCGATAAAAATTTCGATAGAAAAATCGATAATAATATTGGTAGCAAAATCTATTAGAAATCGATAAAAATATTTATCGATAAAAATATTTATAACAAAATCGATAAATATCGATAACAAAATTGATAAAAATATCAATAACAAAATCTACAAAAAATATCGCTAACAAAATAGTTAAAAATATCGATTATGAAATCGATAACAAATCAATAAAAATGTCGATAGCAAAATCGATAATAATCGATAGGTTCCCAAAATATCGATAGGAAAGTTGATAACAATATCGATACAAATTTCGATAAATAAATCGATAAAAATATCGATAACGAAACCGATAAAAATATCGATTATTTTATCGATAGGTCCTGAGAATCCTGAAAATCTCTGAAATCCCAAAATAGTTCCCAGATTGAGTTTCTAAATCTCTCTCTATATCCTTTCCTCTTTAATTACCTTTATTTTAATCTTTCTTCCCCTATTTTAATCTTTACTTTTATCGATAGCCTCATTCTCCTCTTTGTCTTTACTTTAATGTTTATCATTTTCTTCATCTACATATTCCCCTTCACCTTTGCCCTTATATATATAAGTAAAGTGTTTAAAATTACCTTGGTCTTCATTTTTGCCTTTATCTTTAAGCAACTTTGTTTTTGTTTTTATTTTTACTTTTGCTTTTATCCTTTTCTTTATCTATGTACGTAGTCACCTTTACTTTCATTCTTGTATTGGTCTTTTTCTATTCTTTAACCTTTTATTTGCAAATTTTTGTTAAATTAATACCATATGCTCACACACAAGAAGCACTTGTTTCAGCCCCAACCATTTCCGTTGCACCATTTCCGTTGCATCTTTTGCGTTGCACCATTTCCGTGTGCAGTTTCCGTTGAATTTGCCAATTTACTCCCAACACACCAACTGCCGCTAAAGAAGTTTAACTTTAAAAATTACCTCACCGTAATTCAATTTAAATCCCGTGCCATAATTTGTTTCCAAAGGCTTGATTTCCATACCATTTGAACTACTTTCTTGTTCGAATCTTAATCTTTTCCTAAAATTTTGTAGACCTACTCATAAAATCTCTGGGGAATTTAATAAGCGGGAGCTGAGAGTAAAGAGTTTTCATATGCTTAGATGATATGTTTTATCTCCCAAATCCACCCCTTGCTCTAGTGTAACTTCACTGTTTATTTTTTGCACTGGAATTTTTTTTAATAGTCGTTTAGCCCTCCTATTTTAAAATCAAGAAAACGATTTCCCTCTTGTTTCTTTACAAAATTCGTTTAATCTTGCATCCAAAATCCACCTTTCACCCGATTAACTTACCACACCATGTAAACCATTTACGTGTCTGTTGGTCAATTGCCAGTTCAACGATTGAGCTCTAACCTGTAACAACACTGTTATCATTAAATTTTAACCAACCAATCAATCACGTTTCAAAACTGCCACTATCGAGCACTCCTCTTGGTACACATACGATGCCCCCGATGCTGCGTTTTACGCACTTTAAGCCACTTTCCAATTTATTTCCGTCACTCTATATACCGCTGGTTTGGCAGCTATGACATACGCTCCTATCTTTGTACATTCTTACATTTGTACTCACGGTTGCCACTTCATCAAACATTTTTGTACCAAAATATACAAGTAAAAAGGCCCAAAATAAAATAAAATTTACCATTTTTTGCCGTCCAACAAAAATATATACAGTGACTCAAACAAGTGACCACGTGCTGCTTTTTTGAAGTGAAACTTCTTTAGAGGCGGTTGGTAGGTTGGGAGTAAATTGGCAAATTCAACGGAAATTGCACACGGAAATGGTGTGACGGAAATGGTTGGGGCTGAAGGGAGTGCTTCTTATGTGTATGCACATGGTATTAATTTAACAAAAACGTGCTACTGAAATGCTTTATACACAAATTAAAGCAAAGGTGAGTAAGTACATAGATGAAGAAAAGGATATAGGCAAAGGCAAAAACAAAGATGCGTAAAGATAAAGGCAAAAATGAAGACCAATGTAAATTTAAACAGTTTACTTATATATATAAGGGCAAAGGTGAAGGGGAATAAGTAGATGAAGAAAATGATAAACATAAAAGTTATAACAGAGATAAATATAAAGAAAAAGGTGAGGACGAGAATGCCGATAAAAGAAAAGATGAAGATAGAGGAAGAAAGATTCAAATACAGGTAATTATAGAGAAAAGTAACAGAGACTCAATCTGGGAACTATTTTCGGATTTTAG